CTGACTAGTGGGTGAAGGTAGAGATTTCTGGGAAATGGTTTAGTGGATTAATAGTATATTGTCCCACTTTATGTCATATTCATGTTACTGTTGAAAGGCCATCTTTGTGTTCCCACTCCCTATTCTGACAATATCCAGGTTTACTTTGATACCGCTAATCATTCTCCCACTTTAAAGCATGCATCCTATTTTATTGAAAACAAAACTACAAAAAAAATTTAAATTTTTTTTTAAAATTTTCAAATCAACCTGACAAAGAAAAAGCTCTTACTAACCCACTCTATGCTTTCTTAAGTTCTTGGACACACACAATTCTCTTCTGAGCAGGTTAAAAATGTTAAGATCAGTACCCTGACCTTCTGCCCTCTAGGCCACTTACTAACTCTCCAAAGTCTATTTAACTCTCTTCATGACACTACTTGGAGTAACCTCTTATCAAGGCCACTGAATGCTACTAACTAGGAAGCTCTAAAAAATGACTTAAAAATTCTGTCTTCAAGTCATCAGTATTATCTGGTGCTCAGGCATAGCTATTTTGGGGGAAAAAATGACTCCAGTGTCCAAATTACATAATTTGCTTTATACTTCCATGTGCTTCATGTGGTCCCAGAGAAGACTCAGATGCCCTATCATTTACCAAAGGCTCCATTTCACAAAAACTATAAGCCTAGTAACCTCTGTCCATTTTCTTCTAATGGAAACCTCCTCCTTAATTCTCCAACCTCATTTTTTTTTTCCTCAGGGCCCAATTAAATTCTGAAGTCTCTATTATCCACTCCTTTGTCTTCAAAGACCAACTGAAAACACTGCCCCACTCCTCATTAAGGAAGGGCACAAAACTGCCTTTTTACACTGAATCACACCTAATCTCCCTGTGAGTGGTCAGGCTCTGAGGGCCACACAACCCTCCATCTGAAGTATATTACATGCAACATGGATTCTTTCCAAATTACTATTTACTTCATCACTGCATTCGTCCATCTGTTCTTTCTTTCTTTCCCTTCCTCCCTCCCTCCCTTCCTTCCTTCCTTCCTTCAGATATTAGGGATTGAACTCAGGGCCTTGCACATCCTAGGCAAGTACTCTACCACTATGCTACTTTGGGAGAATGTTGATTTTAGATTTGATAAGCAAGTATGCTTGCATTTTATACATTCACTATCATGTGCTTATAAATAATTTCATCTGTACTCTTTTGGAAATAATAATAGTGAATGGGAAATTGGTAAACAATTAAAAAATCAAAAGGTGGGTGGAAGGGTTAAGGAAGAAGAAAAAGAGAGGCAGAAAGAGAGTCAGAGAGAACAGTTCATGTTTATTTTAAGAATTTTGCTACAAAATCGCTTCACAGGTTTGGATGAAGGTTTTGGGACCTCATCTGGTGCATCTTAGACCTCCTGCCAGTGCTTGGGAAAAAGAAAAGAGAAGCTTGGCCCTATTACTGATGCTACAGAACAGCCACAGGATCCTCACACCCTGACACAACAAAATTATCCATTTAAGCACTTTGCTTTTTCTTTCCATTTAGTGAAAGGGTTTTATTGTAGCTTATTTTGTATCACAATCTTGTTATTTTCCCCCTCTGACATCAAGCTGTAAGATTGTCTTAGAGCCAGGCACAGCCAGAGACAGAGATGAGAAGAACGTGCAGGCACCAAGAAAGCGGTTTCCTAGCAACAGTAACTATTTCAAAGGTTTCATAACTCTTGTGTAGTCTCAATTTCCATAGCAATGTGGAGAATAGTAAATAGTATATGCGATTATTTGCTTAACCCAAATGAATTCTAATCAACAAATAATGATACATGCAAAACATCTTATTAACTTTACATATTATCCTTAAGATCTAGTTTTGTTGCTAAAAGTAGTATGTTGTGATAAATCAGATGGCTCAAAAATTTTAAATTCCTTTTTCCTCTTTTGGCTTTCTCTGTTTTTCAGAGGGATTTACTAAAGCAATTCAAAAGGTATTCCAGAAGAAGAAACTGCATTTTGAAGAGAAAAATTTCATGGAATTTAAGTGTTAAGATGTCATGTCTGGAGATCAGAACAAACAGCTATGCAAATATTCAAATTGCTTTTAAAAAGAATAAGTGGAATATAATTGAGTTGGCAGTGCCAGTGTGATCCTTTCTCTCTTCTTTCCTGATTAGAAATTATTTTAGTTTTAAAATTGGACCCACTAAAAGCAAGGGCACATTTCAAATAAATTTGGCTCCATACACAGCACATTCAAAATGCTATGATTTCAGTGTTTCTTCTTTAACTACAAGGCTTTCTTCCAACCTCCTCCTCAGAAAGATTCCACAAGCAAATATAGGTACAGCCTCTTGAATTCATATTGAAACAACCATTAGAGACTAAAAAGGACCAAATTATGTTAGAGTGTGTCAGAAATACATAGAAATATGTCTATATGACTCTAGTGCCTAAATCAGAAAGTAGTATTTTCTTACATCGCTTATATATTTTAAGAAAGAAAAATCCATATGAATTAATTGTGATATTGTGAAGAAAATCTCTTAAAGTGAAAAAGCAGTAGAGGAAAAAAATGGCATTCTTAGGGTCTCCTGTAGATTATCAAGATGATTGAGAATAGTTAATTTTGACCCATATTTTATAGGCATCTACCTATTCCAATTGCTTTGGTGTATTTTAATGGACTTACTATTTCATAACATGTCGCTGGAGACACAGGGGACATGGAAGAGGCTTCTGTTTCTTAGGCTGTGGTCAATGCTAGTAACCAGAAGTATTACCAGATAGACCTATTGCTAGTGCCAGGCAGTGCACATGTAGTGGGTCAAAAGGGACCTCTGGGATGCAACGAGGCCTCCTGTGACAAGTTCCATGGGTATGTGAAATTCTTTTAAACAAAAATCTTTTCATTTTCAGTAATGAAATTCCTCTTAAGAATTCTGAAGGACACTTTCCCTACAACTGAAATCTGTTCATGTATAGCAGTGTTACAAGGTATTTTTCAAGTTCAAAAAAAGAAAAAAAGATGTGTCATTTCAGTGTTGGAATTAAAGAGTGTTATGACGTTATGCTACTAATTTATCAGCTACAAAAATTATTCAATTTGAACTAATCTTTAAAAATGCAACAATAACAGAGATGATATCTATATTTTTATTCCCCATTAATGAATAAAACATGTATTTACAGATATCTACTTCAGCAGAGACATTTATTCTATGATTTGATTTAATTGCCCTTAAATCATGTTTTTGACAGTTAATAGTCTAATTAGGAAGTATGGAAAAGTTCTGATGGAAATGAAGGATTTTTGTGCCAAATATTTTTCTTCATGTAAGCAGCAAAAACTTGATAATAAGCCATCATAATGTCTGTCACTTAAAAATCTGCATATTTTGATTATCTCCTAAGACTATCTAGAAATCGTATTTATGAAGAAAAAGGAAGCTTATTTAAAGATGGGGTACATTCCTCCTCCTTAATACCTAAGGTATTAATGCCATCTGAAAATTGCATATAGGTATGTCATGCTCCTCACTTAAAGCCTGTAACAGTTCATCCTTAATTGTCCATTAAAAATGAATTATGTGTCTATTTATTTAGCATAAGTCTATTACTTAAATAGAGATAATATTAATACAGACGTTGTAATTAGAAAAGACCACAACCTAAATTATCATTTAACTTTATTTTAGTTTTTACTCCTTTGGTACGTAGCTCAATATTTGGAAGATTTTAATGCTGACATTCTAAATTTGTGATGAGAGTACTCAGGTCTGTAAGTAAGTAAGGTCTGTAAATTATTTCAGAATTTCCAAATGATGAAACAGCCTCTCCCCTTGCAGGATAAACTCATACTTCATCTGTTTTCTCTGTTTTTTTTTTCTCACAAAATGGCTTTAGAATACACCTGTGGGTATATTGCTGACATCTGTATCTTCCTGAAATAGTACAGAAATATTGTTCTCCCCACCTGGTAAATCAGGTTAAAGCCTTTGGTTGCCTTCACACCTCATTGTACAAACTATGTGGTGTGTACTCACATGCACAGTTATCTCTTTGCAAGGTGCACATCATAATAAACTTCTCAAACAAGCCAAATAATGCAAAATGACAGAGTAGACCATTTTCTCAGAATCACTAGCATGGCACGGTGTCAATGTGTTCTTCAGTCACCACTCATCCCCAGAGTAAAATGCTAAAATGACTCATAAACCTTGTAAATACTGTGTCAGTGCTTGAAAGCATTCAGAATAATTTTCACCCTGGTTGGAAAACAACATTTTATTCCTAATCAACTCAAGTCTGCAATCTTTCACTGTCCTGGGTGGATTTGGTGTCAGTGTCTCTACTCATGAAGAATAACTTCTTCCCTCACTGCTGACAAGAAACTTCAGCCATGATGTAGAGAAATGCTATGATTGTAGGTGTACAATTCTAGGAACAAATAATTATTGCCTATCATGCCCCACTAGGTACATTCTTTTGTATTTTCTGAACATAAACATCCATATCAAAATCATTAATCTTTATTAACTTTAACCACAATTTAGAGACAAAAGAACTATCCAATAATCTTCAACATTTTATAGTAAAAATAAATTTAGTTAATATGAGAAATGAGAATGTGTTGTATGTAGAAGCATGAAATATCAGTGTATTATTTATTTATGAACACTGCCAATCAACCATAAGCCACCTTCCCTCTCATGCACCAGTTTCTCTAACAGATCTATCTCATTCCACATAGCATCTCTTGAATCTTCTCTCCCTGGTTCTTGGTACCTCTGGCTGTGAGTTCTTTAGCACAGACCCACACATTTTAGAGTGCCAGGGGCGCTCCTGAACTATTCCTTAAAGCTTCTCTCCAGCTTTGACTCTTAAGAAATCCCCATTGCTTAAGATAATGTGGTAAGACCAGCTTCAATCTGAAAATCAAGATATTACAATAAAATATTATACTTTTTAGCATATATCTTTCAATTATCACTCATCTCTTGCACAACAATCACATTTCTCACCTCTCTCCGAAGAATGCAGTGGACCATGACTATAACAAAGCCTTGCAATGAATCAAACACAGCAAAAAGTATTTGAAACAATATGGAGCGTTTATCTGTCATGGCCAGAACTGCAGACATCCATGTCAGAGCCAGAAGGGGCAACACCACACAAGAGCTCCAAAGAGAGGCCCTGTTGAGAGACAAAGCAACATTACGTAGCTGCATGTCATGCCCCAGGCCATAACCAAACCCCCGTTCAACATAGCATTCTTATATGTGGCACCAAGACTATTAACTTGGAAACCACAAAGCAGATAACATTTGAGAGTTTTATTTATTCTTTTTTACACTATCCCACATAGTTATAAAGGTAGTTGCCAATTACAAATATTTAAGTATTAGCAAACACTATTTTATTTTTCATCATAGCATTTTCTCACATGCACTGTAAAGATTTGTAACAAGAAGATGTAAATGATTGGGACTAACATGGCGTTACTGGCGGTGGTGGCTGACAAAGCTGTTGTTGAAACTACTCCACACTTGGCACATTTGAGCGTCAAACCGCTATGAGGCTCACTCATCTGACTGCAAACAAACAGAACACCCACAAAAAGAACAAAATATTGAATTGTCACCAAAAAAAGTTGCTGCTGAAAGTAAGCTTTAAATACGATTTCATACAGAAAAGTATACTTATCGAAGATGAAAGCTCTAGATTGTTTTAAAGACGCATTTTTACTACAATTTATCTTTGTAACATTTACCTCTTAACAATCTGGGCCTTTCTTGCATGCAAAGCATATTTCCATCATTTACACCATAAATATCCCTATCAAAATTGCCCAACACTGAGATTAACATAAGCATGTGCTTGTGTAGACATATAGCAAAAACCCTTTATTCAGACCTCTGGTACTCAAACATGTGAGGACTCCTAGCTTCAAGGACTTTCATTGTTGTTTGCAAAAGGTACACTTATCAATTAAAGCCCCCTGAGACATTAACCTCAGAAGCCCACATAGGGGCATGCATTACATATAGAAATAATACATATATATAGCACATAATATGTATGTTAGGAGTCTTCAATTGTAGAAGAAAGTTTTTCTCTCAACAACTTTGTTCTTTGAGATTTCCTGTAGCATCAATGTACTATCCATATTTTAGGATGATCTGAATATAGGGGCTGATGAAACATTAGTTGATAATAAAAAGAATGGTAGTTTTCTTTTTTAATAAAATACATTTAATATATCTGAAGTTCACAATTTTCTTTCTGAACATTTATTATAGGCTCCAATATTACAGCATTTAAATGGTCTATTCTGGTCTAGGAGACTTCATGTGTAAATTCAGATTCCATTTACTACATCACAGAAACAAATTATACTACACAGAAAATTTGACATGCATTTTGCTTAAGAAAAGCATCCCTTGAAAAATAATTTTATTAGAACATAAATTTCTTGAGAAAAACAAATAAAAATTCCTTGAATAGAAATCCAAAACACCTTGAAATTTTTTTTTGTGGTGTACTTCTTTAAGTCTATTCCAATGTGGTGCCTATGTCTAAAATATGACTGCCCTATGGGTTTTTTAATTATTTATAGTAGAGTTGCATATATATGTATATATAATTATTTAAATATATATAATTATTTAAAAGAAACCAGACATTCCAAATTATAAGCATCTCAAGGGGCAGAAGAGAGAAAATGTTAAGATACTTACAGTTTGGAATGTCGAATTTCTTTTAAATAAGTATACTCATTTATGGATAGCCCTTAGATTAGATAATAAATATGAAAAATATAGCTTGATCAGCAGATCTCATGAGGAAATAAAAAAAAGACATCAGAGTTGGGGGTAAGGGAATATGATACTAAATTACACATCTAAATCACTCATCTCTTGCTTTACTGAGTCAACCCAAGGCATATGTACCCAAACCAGTCACATGTACCTAAACTTCTCAAATAATATATAAGAGATAATCTGTCTAGTTTAGTTTACAAATGGTTAAGTGAGCATGCCACAGTGCTTGAAACTGCACCCAAAGGAGCACCTAGATTGGTGTTAACCCAGTGGTTGCACACAGCAGTTCACCTGGCCCCATCCCCAAATACTAATTTGAGGAAACTCATGCACCTGTTTTTCTTGAAAGTCCATAGATTATACCAGCGAATGAGCAAAAATGAGCACCACTGCTCTAGATATACATTGAGCTTCTTTAATCATCTTAAATTTGATGATATTGATATTTCAAAGGCATGGATTACTCCCTTATTGTTTTTGTTATTACAGAGGATGAGTTATTTGATGTTGTGCTTCTAACATGGATATGGCTATTTCTCAATTTAAAGACATTTTGCTCTGGTTTCTAAACCAAGACTAAAAAGTCAAAAGTGATTTAAAAAAATGATTTCAAGTACCCAATACAGCAAGTATTTTAGCCCTGAAAACTGTGATTTAACCTAAGCATTGGCTTTCCTGATTACAAATTGAAACTAGTATTCAATATGCTTATTTGTCTTTATTTGAGGCTGACTGAAAGGTCTACATATACTTTCCTTGTAGCAAACTGTTAAAAACTGTGCTGGATGCTAATTTTTTGGACAGCTTTGATACTCTTACTAGATGTGAATGGAATAGATGAATGGTAAATTACCTTGGGAAATGTAATGATTTTTTCCTAGTTTACATTACTTTACAGAACTGATATAATATGAAGAACACATAGTCTATATGGTAGATCAAGTAGCTTCAATGAAAAATAGAATCTTTTTTCTTTGTTACAATGGAAATTATGCATTTATAAAATAAAACATTCAATTAGTTATATAAAAAAAAGGAGTTGAACTGCCCATACATTCCAGTGTAACCAGGGCACCAGGGCAGGAATACAGTTGCTTTATTACTCCTCTTCCAAAGAGTTCTGCCAGTTCCTATAATTACTATGGGTCTTGAAATGTACAGGTTGTAATTCCCTTCCCAATTTTATTTAATATTTTATTTAGGATTTTTTTATTTGATTTGTTTATTTTAATACTCTAACAGGTTACCTAAAAAGAAAATTTCCCCTCCATCTCCATTTGGAAAAATCTCATGAAATTTGTTAAGGATTCTGCTAAATTAACTTCCTAAATTCAGGTAGATAAGATGACACAGAAAGTTCTACTGCAGAAAAATACAGAAAACTAAACTTACTTTTTAAGATATTATAAAAAGACACACAGGGTTTTTTCTTACTCTTATTCTTTCCAATTATAATTTTATATATGAAATATATTGTAAATTCATAATAATCCCCACCTTGGTAAATATATTTTAGGCATTAGAAATATTTAATATGTTTGGGGTTTTATAAAACTTGTCAAGCTATTGAATTATTTATTAAACATTTTCTCACACATTCTTTTATAAATACTTATTGAGTACAAACTATATACTTTGCTGTTTAATAAGAAGTGATTATAAAAAATAAGAAAAGAGAAAAAGTATTAGAAAAAAATGGAAGAAGGAATGTCTGGGTCCTAGCTTCAATTTTAAATAACAACACAGTTTCAAAAGATATGTTTGATATTTTTGTATATTCAAACAACCTGAAAAGGACAATTTTTACAATTATGGAAGTCAATTATTAAGTCAGGTAGGTTCTAGTCAACATTTCTTTAAGTTAGTTGTGATTATTTGTTTTTCACTCAAGTCTTTTTTTTTTTTTATTTAAATTTTTCACTCAACTCTTTATTATTGTCCTAACTGCTTTTACATCCATTTCTTGTTAAGTTTACCTTTAATCATACTTTGGAATATAGAACAAATTTTAATCCATATTTACTTATGACAAAATAGCATTTTATATTTAAGAATCTTTTTTAAAACTTAGTCATTAATTTGATAGCTCTTTCTGACTTTGGACAGTAATCAGCATCCTACTCTGGTCATGTAAGTTACCAACACTTCTTTGTCTCTAGTAGCATCCTTTGAACCAGAAGATCCTCACTCAGTTTTGCCCATAAGACATATGTGATGTCGAAGAAAATTTTTAGAATTAGAGGCATTAAAATTATAATGGTCATAGTTAATTTGTAGATTGATATGGATTTTTTCTAAATGCATAATACAACAAGGTTGCCATTCCTTCTAAACTTATATTATCTCTTACAAAGAGCTAAGTGAAACAAACTAGGCATTACATTAAATGAGAACATAAATACTGTGATAATTAAATGAGAACATAAATACTGACTAATAATCTAATAAATCCTCAGCATTGTACTCATTTTGATTATCTCATCTTTTTCTGACCTCACTATATAAATGATGAAATCATAGATCCCTGGTTGATAGTCAGGGAGTTTTGAAAACACACATCCACTTTCACTTCCTTATTTCATTGTGAAATGAGGAATAGCCACTGTTGAGTAATGTTTCTTATTTGTCAGATCCTCTAATGAATAGTTTATACACATTATATTCCATATGCTTTATGAGGCAAAAGCTATTGTTCCCATTGAACAGATGAGGAGACCGAGCTACATGCAAAAAGATGAAGTAACATGCCCAAAGACAGACACACACAGAGGTAGCAAATTGCAGAGCTGAATATTGAATATGGTTTTGATTCGAAGCCTTATCCTAAGCACTTAAACCAACCCCAACTATTTTGTTTAAATTATGTAAGTTTATACCATCATAGCAGAGCTGAGTTTCTATACCCAGTAGTCAGTATGATCAATTTATTCTTATGATTAATTTGGACTTAAATTTCAACCATATGTGGCAGATTAACAACAATAATCTTGTGAAAGGTTCATGTCCAAGTATCTAGACTAAGTAGAAGCCTTTCTATTTAAGGATGCCATGGGACTAATCCGTAGTGCAATTGTCTCTGAGAAGTGACCCTCCCTCGAGAAGGAACTCCAATGATGTTTTTTTTTATTCCACTGCAGTTTCAATGTTCGATATGAATAACATTAAAATTTTATATTGAAAGCCATTAGAGTTGGCTATTTACTAGTTTAGATACTTGGTCTATCTTACCTTATAAATCATTGCATAGATTGTAAAAACCAAAGGATTTAAAGCTCTCATCAGGAGCCAATCAAATACTGTCACTATTAAATAATACCCTAAATTATTTAAAAAACAAACTATTACATAGACAAGTTTTCAATGTTGATGCCATTTAACAGAAAGGTGAAAACTATAAACTTTATAGACACAGGGGGAAAATTAAAGGCATTAGTATTTCATTCAAGTTTCTATAAATGTTTATGATGAGGTGATGATGTAACCTTGAAAAGGTGCTATCAATCTGCATATGAATGTTAAGTCATTTGATAGGGAGATACTGTAATAACAGCAAAATTAAGGTAGATCCTTTTCTAAATTTTATAAGTGGTTAAAATATGCAAGTGAAAATTATGAATAGCTCTTGCTAGCAAATTAGGGTCAAAATCATGTCATAAAGAATGAAAATATAAGACAAGAATAACATTTGACTAGGTAATTCTCTTAAGTGAAGACTTTTTTTTCTGGTATCTACAATTAATCAAAGAAAATGCAGCATTATTGTACTATTTGGGTTTGCTTGTCCTAGCTCAGTCATGTCACATAGTGACACTGTGTTCCATCTACCCTCCTGTACTTTGTGACCAAAAGTAGAAGGGCTTTGAAAATCCTTACTTAAGGACAACTATTTTAAGTCCAGCCTTCCTGAACATTTAATCTTCTTAACTGACAAGCTGGCAACACAGTCAAATAAACCTAGACTTTCTTAATAATCTGTTAAATCATTTTGAGATTTTTGGTCATATTACTTAAGAAGAGAACATTAGAAACATTAGGCACAATCCACCAGACACACTGGGACATCAAGAACAGAATTTGAGGCACAGTCAAATGCAGTCAACAAGGATTTGGAATTGGATTATGATATTCACTGGCAAAGAACCTTCAAAATCCACCAATTGCAGCTTACCCGGCTCTGTGTTTGAGCTTTTTATCTAGGATCCCATCTCTGGAAACAAGTTTATTAAATACCAAAATGCCAATCACCATGTTGACCTGTCAAACAGAAACAAAGTTGACCTTTCAATAATTTTGAAGGGAATTCGGTCTCTGTTTTATCAATTTAAAACCACTGTAGAGTTCTATAGTCACAAAAGTAGTGATATTAAGCACTTCTCAAACCTTTTAATTAAGTGCATAAAGGCATATAGAACAATTTAACAGTGGTGTGTTACTGTAAGTTTTAAAGTACACCAAGTACTTTAATTCCTATGATTTGCAGTTAACACTGGGGAAATTAACCTTCAATTGCCTTACTTTTAAATGGTACCATACTATATCAATTTGGCATTATTTTTTGAAAAAAACTTAAATAAAATCAATTGGCTTAATGAGTTTTACCCTACGCTTAAGAGCTAAAAGATTTTGCATCTCAGGGCGTGAGGCTAGGGTGAGCTGTGGGAAACCAAGAGTGCTAAGCAGGGAATACAGAATGACCACATTCCTCACACTGGGTAGCTGTTCCCTCTTGTGGGATGGGAAAAGTGTTGTTGCACTATTTTTCCAGGCAAGAGAAAGCCTTTTCAGCTATCTAGAACCTTTAGGGGACAGAGAGCATCAATTCTTAAAATACTGTCTAGTGAGCATTGCTCATCAATTCCTTTCCAAGGCTCTTACTCTCACTTAAAAGTCCTTTTGCATTAAGACAGCTGAAATGAAAATTTTCTTTCTCAAGTTAGGTTGTAAAAAGCCACACAGACAAACATCTGTTTGTAGCAGCAGTATATCATGATAGGCACCCTTGGTTTTCTAACCTATCAATACCTCTTGATAAAGGAAACCCGTCCAATGGGGAAACCAAAATAATCAAGGAAAAGTACGGTTTTTTTTTTCCTTTTGTTTTCCTTGCCTCTCACCCTCCATGATCCCTGAGCAATAGAATATCAATGTAATCCTGGCCTCTCTGCCATTGCAAATGGTGAATATAAAGCTGAAATCTGTTAAATTGTTGTTGTAAAGAAGAGTCAAAGCACATCTGTTAAGTAGGGACTTAGGAGGTGTCTCTCTTCACTGACAAGATAGCAGTTAATCAAGAGAACACTTATTCATCTTTGTACTTCTCATTATTTGCACTAAGAGAAAATGTACATTCCACGGATTCTGTTAATTTACAACTTACTCAGGAGGGAATTTATGACTACTCCAAAGGCCTTTCTTTGGTGTTTCAATTATACACATACTCTTTATTTCTTCATTTTAGGGTTATATGTATATTAACCTAGTAGCTTAGGGAAATGTTTCTATTGATTAAATAAAAATTCAAAGCAGCAGACAAAAATGTGTCTAATGGTTTTGATTTCCCTATGGTCTTCTCTAACATCATGCCTAGAGTGTTTTTATCCCTCCCCCCCTTAGAAAACAGGAACGATTTCCTCTCCTTCCTACAGCTTAGAGGAGGGAGAACAAACTTGAAAGGAAGAAAACTCAAATATCAGAGTTATTAAGAAAAATGTCATGAGCTTCCAATTTTTTGAATTAATTTTTCAAGCCAAACAGTAATTTTCCAACTAGAATTCTAATTGTACAGTGATATGAATCATTGTATTTAATGAAGACCATTTCTTTCCTCTTTTATTATATCCAGATATTGTCTAGACAAGTAATATTTATAATTAATAACCTCAGAGAGAGAGAAATTGGTAGGGAATTTCACATTACCATAATTAAAAGATTTAAGGCTGGACACAGTGGCACATGCTTATAATCCCAGTGACTCAGGAGACCGGGGCAGGAGGATTTCAAGTTCAAAGTCAGCCTCAGCAACTTAGTGAAACCCTAAGCGACCTTATCTCAATAAAAATAATAGAAAAGGTTGGGTATATGGTTCAGTGGTTAAGCACACCAGGTTCAATCCCTGGTACCAAAAAAAAAAAAAAAAAAAAAAAATTAAGGATTTAAGGAAGTGTTTTGTGATTCCAAGGAGAATCAATTGGCTAAATGTTTCTTTTTTTTTTTTTTTCCCCTATGTTTAAGAGCCAGGGAACATCAGAAATATCTGGAGATGTTTTGATTGCCATAACTAGAGGATGCTACAGGAATGTGCAAGGTAGAGGAGAGGGATGTTGCTAAACATCCTAAAATACACAAGACAGACCCCACATCAAAGAAATATCCAGTCCAAAATATCAGTATCATTGAGGTTAAGAAATATATTTGATATTTGGTAGTAACAGCCTTGAAGAAATCTCCCTATTAATAACTATATATACTGTACCAATAGTAAAAAGGTAATAAATGATAATAAATAATGAGGCTCTATATTTTTTTTTTTTTTTTTTTTTTAATTTTTATTGTGGGTTGTTCAAAACATTACAAATTGAGGCTCTATATTTTGAAGAGTAAGAATTAATTAAAACTCAAAGTTCTTCACAAGTCTAAAATGACTGTAAGAGAAATACCATACTCCCCAATTTAATATTCTTCAGTATTTAAAATATGAATATTTAGAGTATTAAAGAACTGAAAGCAATTGATATTCAAAGCACAGTAACAGTTCATTGAACATTAAAATTTGTGCACAGCAAATACTTTATCAAAATTGCCACTCTAATTGAACCAAATTAAGTCTTCCGGCTAAGAAAGTAAATAAGTAGTTTTCAATGTTTACCAGGACAACAGCGGCTGCAGGTCCAACAAAAGCATACAGCAGCCCTCCTTCAAGAGAAAGCCAGCAGCTGAAATAACATTAGAGAAAAACTAACAGAAATTAGTGATAAGTATCAGACCACAAAAGCATGATACAAGTAATTTATACATTTGGCCCTGAAATGCTGACACCTTTCAAAGATTTGTAATTAAGAAAATAACTACATAGAAGATGAAGAAAAAGCTACAATTGGAGCTTTTTCAATTGAGATATACTGTGGACCTCTCACTGAGGAGAAATTTCTGTTATAAGGCCTTACTTTCAAACAGTTTATACATTTTAGACAAATTACTCTTATGAGATTTCTGCATTTACTTTCATTATAAAGGTTATTATTACTTAAAAATTACAAAATGCTATTTTATTTTCCTTATGGAAAAATTTTAAAATATAATTTAAAGCAAGAACAGTATGTTTGTAGAGTCTTAGATGTGCTATTTACCTGTTTTTCCTTGAGTCCATTGAGATATCAGGAGAAATTGGTTTAAAAGACATTATTACAGGAAGTAGATAATCTATAGTTGTATGCTTTATTCTTTTAATTTTACTGTTTCCAAGACTACTAAGAAAACTCACTATTGATAATTTTTTGAACAAAAATAAGTACAACTATGTTTGTTTCAAGGACTAAATTCATGAAGAGATGTCAATTTGCATTGAGAGAGATAGGACCCACATGGGTGAACTCAGAGACTGAAAGTTCAGTCTCTTGCAGCAGAAGGCAATGAAGGGGCCATAGGGCTCAACCCTGGAGGCTCTGCAGGTGACATATCTGCACATTCACTTTCCAGGAGAATAGACATGAGGAAAGTGTGAGGGACTATTTTTACACTGCTGATGTAGAGCCATGCCCACAATTTCATGCACCTGGTTTTTACACTACTTTTTCTCCATCCACAAAATTGGTGAGCTGCTTTCAAAAATGAAATTAGGACAGGGGATATGGCTCAGTGGTAAAGCTTGCTTGCATGCATGAGGCCCTGGTTCAATTTCCAACACAGCAGAGCAACAATAACAAAAAGTAGCATTATACAACAACTGTTCTACATCTGTTAGAACAAAAAACTATATTGATTGTGGTGATAGTAACATGAAATGCATTTGTTAAGACACATATAACTGTATAGTTAATAGGATAAATGTTACTTTATATAAATTAAATCTTAATTTATACCTTGTTCAATTTATACCTGTATATAATTTAGACCTTAATTTATAATTTACACCTTAAATTTAAATCTAGTAGTTACATATATACACATACAAGTTCATATACCAATATGTATGTTCATCATTTGTGTGTATTTATTAAAAGTCTGCATTTAGTTATTGCTCCTTGCCATTAACAGCAGAAAGATAAAATTTTATCTTCTTACTTTGAGGTAGACAACTAAAATACCCCTTTTTATATTAAAAAATACTTGGAGAAAAAGATTGAAAAAACACTTTAATTTGGTGTCTCTGAGGCTACCACCAAATTTCTACTATATTTTTGTGTGAGCAAATCTCCAAACTGAGATTTAGTTTGTCTTTTAAGGTGCTGTTGTACCTTTCAAGTTATTTTTTCTCCTAGGGTTTACATGACTATGAAGAAAATTTGTAGTCCTAAGATCAATACATGACTTGTTATATTATATTTGGCTTTAATTGATAACTCCTTGAAAGTAGGAACCATAACATTTATAATCACACTTGTTTTCATATTCACAATATAGGAATTATCAGTACCAAAATCATCATGTTATTGTAAAAAGTAATGATTTAAAGGTAATAGTGCTATAGTAAACAATGCTTTATTATAGATGCTATCAGAATTTTTTCAACAATATAGACTGCATAAGAAAAATAAGTGCTCTGATTACATGAGCTATTTAAACTCTTAGAAAGTTTCTTTTGGATTGGCAGGTGGAGTGAAGTCCCTTGGCATCCTCCCAATATAGATAAACCCACCAGCTGGCCTAACTAGCAGTGAATCCTACCTCAAACCTGAAGGCAGTTAAATAGAACATTACATTTTAAAACGTAAGCCTTTAATAAGATGCACACTCTTTCCACATCTCTCAATTGTCTCCTCAAAATGAGAGTAGATGCAGTAATGTATGAAAATGCATTGTTTTAAATCTGAAATATCAAATATAAACTTTAAATTCTCTCAAAGAATTTTTTAGCTCTCAAAGTATAAGATGGGCTATTACCTGCTTTTCTCCCTTCTAACTTCTTCTAGCCCAGGTATTTTCTCACATGGAGTCTCTTACTTTCCCTGATTTATAATATCAAACATGTATGACCCTAAACAACAGCAAAACTTGAACTAACACACAAAAAAACTTATTGGTTAATAACAATATATATTATCATAATGTTATTAGAAGTTCAGTGCAGAATCACATTCTAAAAGGTAAATATGTCAAGGCTTTTTTTTATCTATTTCTGAAAAAAAAAGTATTTGAGTTTCAACATGAACAGTAAATACTGAAATATTTCAAAGCCAAATACACCTATCTTATTAAGAAATGAGAAAATGAAAGGAGGATTCTGAACAGTACCATGGTACTTTTCCCTTAAATTTTGTTGCTCACATTGTTCCTCATTAATAACTCAATGACAAAATACAAGCCACAGCAGTGTCACTCAAGACGATTGGGGCCTATTTGATGACTTGCTTAGTTTTAACATGATTTATCACTGTGGATGGACTTACTAGTGATCTGTGCCATATCCTTTCGTCCTGGTGAAGCCCACTGATGTGGCCACTACTAATGCTGGCAAACCTGCAAGAAGAGCAATGTCACACTTCATATTCAGCAATAGCCACTGTGCATACTGGCCCTAGAAAAGCCAGGTCAAACTCTAGATGTTCAAATCAGAGCAACTACCTTTGGATGAATCACCTCACAAAGTATGTTTCCATTACAAACTTTCTTTCAAGTGCCAAATATGAGAGCGACAGCTGGTATTTCAACTTGGTGCACTTCCTTGATGTTGCTAGGTTACCACCACATTTGACACAAGTTTAAAGGGAAGTAATAACAGAGATTTAGGGTATCTTTTAAGTTATTTTTCCCTAGGGGTTTACACAGTTATAAAGGAAATTTATAGTTATAAAATCTGACAGGCAAAAACTAGATGTTCTGGTGTGATGGAATTTTACAGAAGTGGAACATTCATCTGGCCACACATTATTGATCCATGTCAAATTGTACTTAAGATAGAAAAAGTAAACCTTATCAATTAACATTTTCTTTATAATTTACTTATAATAACAAAAATGTGGGAACAAGAAGTTTAATTACCTGCATATCTGCACCATTTCTGAATTTACAATTTATTTTAGTTTATGTTGTTTATGTGAATCACTTATGATCTCATTCAAGTTTAATGAAAGAATTTCCCTTTATTTTGATGAATAAAAGCTCAATCTAATCTGTTATTTAAAGTTTTTGTTTGTTTAAGTTTCAGTTGTGCCTTCTTTTCAGGAACATCATGTTTGCCTTTCAGATTAAAAAACCTATCACCAAATCATCCTTTTGTGCCCCTCTTTATGTTTTCTTTCTTCCTACCATTTCCCATATTTCTTACTATTCTTTTTCTTCTGGGAGCCTTCTCTAGTGCCATCCCATTCATCTGTGAGGTATAATGACAAGAACTATGGAGAGCATCTCAGAGGGACCTATCACATTTTTGACCAAATACTGATGACTCCATATATAATATAAATTGTGTATGTAGTATCCTCCTCATCTCCACCCTCCTCATCCTTTATTCAGCATGTGATTTGTTGACTTTTTGGTTGACTGGACCAAGTTCATTAGAAAACAATTCTCCCTTGAGTAATAACTAAATGATGAATAGTCTTTGTTTTATATGATTTGAATTTGTATATATATCTTTTCAAAATTCATTATGTCACATTGTCCAGACTAAAACACACATGCCACTATTCTGCCCATCGGTGTAAATTTTTGCTACCTATATATATTAGCTGTATATGTGGAGAACTGCTGCCAACCCTCTCCTCAAGATCTTGAGTAACCATGTTAAATAAATCACCACTCTTTATTAAGAATTTTGGTCTTTTACTTGCATTCTGTATTTCTAATAATGACAATTTGTCTAACAAATGACAAAAATGTTCCCTTAATCAATAGTAGTTCACTTTGGATAATCTTTGTCATGGAGTCTAGACAAATTTTATGAAATTTTAAGTAGAAAACTTCCTTCAGCTTTTCTTAATTGCCTTCCTGTCCCAAGTACTGATACACTTGTTAAACATATATAGACTCATACTGAAACCAGGGATAATCTTTAATTATTTTTAATCTTTTTTCAGCATGAATTATTCTCATATTTTAATAAGCCCACTAATCGGTAATTTCCCTGGATCTCACTAACCTATTCTCAACTTCTTATACACTAGTTATTTATTGAGTATTTGGTCTAAGATTCCTCAGTTATTTTAGTGTAGGTGTTTTAATCAAAGACAAACAAGAAAATTCCTTTCTAAAACCAGCTTTTAAAATTAGGCTCTCATTAGAAATGGTCCTATGAAATGTGTAAACCTTCAAGATGTCTGTCATAAAGCGATTTGAAAGAAAAATTTCCCAATAAAAACAAGCAAAGAAATAATGAAATCTGTTTGCAATTCTATTTATACTTTTGAGGACCCCACTGATTACACATGAGATTTCATTGATTTTTTTAATGGCTTTCTGTCTATGACATGAATAGGTGTATTCTTTAATTGTTTTGAGATTTCTTGGGATAGAACTTTAGTTTGGGGAGGGGAGAACATGCTAGTGAAGAATAATGTCCTGAAAACTTAAGACATTACATTTTCAGAAAGTATTAGCAGAGAACTTTCCATCTCTGGTCTCATTTCACACTCTGCAGGCACTGTTGCCTTCTTAGAGTTCCAGATGACCAATGCATGTTCAAATGTGACCGCCCTCATATATTTCTACTTCATATATAAAATTAGACACAAAGCAGCCTGTGGATAATCACTGTACTGCTTCAGGGTACAGAAGCTTGAAGTCATTTAAGAAGAGCTCGAAAGGGTATGTAATATGCTTACCCCATCCAAGGCACAAAAAGCGTTTCCTTATAAGCCGTGTCCTAATTTTTCCAGTTACAGCCATATATGACTGCCACGCCTCAGTCAGAACCCAACAGAAGGAAGCCAGGAAGAAAAAGTGCAAAAATGCTGTGGTAGTTGTACAGATGCTCTGTGGAAACAAAGAACAGACTCACACTGGACTGTGGTGGGGACTCAGGTGTCCTGCAGAGGGTTCTAAATCTCTGGCTCAGCCTTCACTTTTTCTTAGTGCCATGTAATTATTTACAGAAATTAGAAGTCGGGCAGTCTATGCTGCCTATGGTCCCTTTGACAGAACAAAATATGTGTCCTAATTCGTTTGTGTGTTTGATTTCTTTTATGAGAACTAGGAATGTAAATTTGAACTCAAGGGAGATTAAAATTACTGCTTTACTTTAAAATTTTTCTTGAAATATAATTACAGGAATGGTCCTTTTCTTTGGTTTAATTTAAGTTACAGACATCTTACATGATTATTTTGGCTACAGTCTTTATCTTTCCTTTTTACCCAAGAATTCTTCTTTGTTGTTTTGTCTGGGTTGATGTTAAGATTACATTTGCAAGAGTAACAGCCTTTCAAAAGGAAAATTTTCTTTGCTTTTATATATGCGTGATATTCATGATACAACAGCAAAGTACAAAATGAGGTTTGGCTAATAGCCTAGAACAAAAATAACATATGTATTTTAAATTACTTAATACTCTGCTTCAGTATTATTACATTGCAACATGTGTCTTAATCCAGTCATTTTGAAAAGCTAATTGGGTCACTCATAATACACAGGCATGACTTCATAGATATTTTTCTTCATACAACTTAATCATTCTAAATATGTGAACCATTAGTTGTGACTTATTTGCAAAAGACAAGCAGCTTCATTTTGGTAAATCCTGCTAAATATTTCACTATTGGTACAATTTCCTTGTGTAAAATCTTGTTGAAAGGCAAGTTGTCACAGACAAGAACAAGCAACAGAACTAACTTCTTCCTTTGTCAGTCTCAGTCTTGCTGTTTCCAGAAACTGAAATCAACCAAAGAAACTAAACTAAAAAAATTAAAAATTAAAAATTAAAAAATTATAAAAAAACGCAAGCAAGTAAATAAAAATAGGATCCTCATCCTCCTACCTCCAATTCAATCTAATGCTAAAGGAGAACCTTATTAGAATTTTTATTTTGGGGCCAACGTTATTCATCTTAGTTACTTATTCTTTTGCAATTTACCAGGTATTAATTTAGCTTCCCAATTCTTTTAATCCCATATGAAGAACTTTTTCATGCTTATCTCACCAGGCTGTTCCAGTGATAAGAGATAATCTACACTGTGTTAGGCACACAGCAAATACTCAATGAATGATACTATTAGCATTATTATGATAAATAGCACTTAAAAAGGTGGTACCATTTTCAGCATGCGATACCTTATTTCAGGCAGTACTTATATCTGCTTAGTCCTTATGTTTATGCTCGTAAAGATGTCAAGTATCAGTACCATAAAGCCATGGATTTCCATATGCTCTTCCCTACTCCTTTGCTCCTGTCTCAAGTATAATGTAGAAGGTTTAACCAATTATGACTTCTTCTATACTTGAGACATTGGGACTTTCCCCCCAAGTTAAGGTTTAAAGATCTACAGGCTGACTATTCTGACCACTGATCTACAGTCTCTGATCCCAATTTGAAACTCAAGATAATTTTTCCAGTCAATATCTAGGACTAGTTATGCTTTATAATTTACATTTCATTTTCTTCCCCCAATTTGTATTATCTCAATTTTAAGTGCTAGCAATGCATTCCTTGTCCATTTAAACACCATCAATAAAGGATTATATCAAACAATGTAAAAATGTTGAATGGTAGACCCTAAGTGCTGAATGCACTAAAATTTTATCAAAAACGATGAAGTACTCAATACCTGAATACAGAGATTTTTAATCTGCTTTTTTTCTATTGTGTTTATTACTTGGAAGTCCATCACTTTAATACTAATAGAAATTGGAGAAGATTTAATTTGGAGCTAGTGGCATTTATTTCAAAAATTCATGTCTCTCTGGAAATAATATAAGTCACAGCCTACGAGGAGAATGAATGGTAAGTAAAGTATGGCCTGTTTCTGCCTGCAATCAGTGGCACTGTAGTATGGCCAGATGACTCTTCAGATGTCTTGAATGTGCTCTAAGTTGGAGATCAGCTGTCTTAATTTAAAGGATTGTACGTGTGGACTAGAGGGGTCTAAAATCACAAAACTAACCTCAGAAGAGGACAGCAAAATCTATGTTCCTGAGAAACAGAAAAAGGGATTACATTTTGCTTCATAATCACTTGAAGAAACAGTATAAAAGCAAATACTTGACAGATGGAAACACACATTGATTTTCTTCTGAAAGCTATATTTGCTAAGTTGTAATAATGTCAATAATATGTTTCAAATAATTATTATAATTAGCAATTTTCCGATGACTTCTGCAATTTTCCACAAACGACACATCTGCTTCCACAGGAGTTGTCATTCCAGTGTTCTGGGCTCAGAATTCTTTGGCCTTTTCCCCCACATAACCTAAATTCCACATCAGCAACCCCCAAAGATTAAACATCCCATAAGTTCCTCAGTACTGGGGCTTTTGCCCTTAAAAACTTTCAACTTTTGCACTTAAAAACTTCCATCCTCCTTTTCTAAAACAGGTTCATGTCTTGACACCTGTTCATTATTACCATGAATGAACCCACCATGATGAACTTGGCTCTTATAGTTTTTCCTTCTGCAGCTCCTGTGTGTGTACTCCTGGATCTTACCTTAGAAGGGTCTTGACAGCTCACAGTTCTGAACATGAAACTCAATGGAACCTCAAGTCTGTCATTAATTCTTTGCTTTTCCTGTCTTGTTAAACCCGAGTCTGGTCTCCTCAGTATCACCACTAATAAGTGTTACTGACAAATATTATAAACTTGAAGAAAGCTGATTTAGGTTGTTAAACTAAGCATTGTTCATATATAGCATGCTTGTCTACATCCTTTATCCCAGATCCTTAGAGATAATAGAAGAGATATTTTAAAAAATAACTGACAAGAAAGGAAGTAAAAGTGGTGTTGAACCAAAGACTGTGAGAAATCTGATAGAAACCAAAAGCAGATGAGAACAGACTGAAGATGGACACTGAAGTCCAAAACGAGGTGTTGGGAACAGAGATGAAGATGCAGAAAGTTGGAAAGAGTTACATTATATGAATGACACCAAAGTCCTAAAATACATTTTAAGTACTTCCAGAAGAAAGAAATAGAGAAATAGAGGGAAGGGCAGAATTAAAAGAAATATTATGGGAAAATTTCTCAGAACTTTAAAACTTCTCTTGGCTCTGGGATAGATGATGAAACACACATATACACAAGTGTACCTAAATATATTGTGATGAAATTTGTGAGCATGAAGAATACAGAGAAATATCTTTAAAGCTGTCAGAATGAAAAGAAAGATTACTTACAAAGAAATAAGAATCAGATTGACATCAGATTCCTTGTAAGCCACCCAGGATACAATGAGGCAAAGGGATAATAGCCTCGACATTCTAAGGAAAATAACTTTGAAGTTAGAATTCTACACCCAGCCAAACTATTATTCAAGTGAGAGGCAGAAATAAAGATATTTTTAGAACCAAAAGGAACTGTGAAGTTTAGTTCTTTTAAGATTTTCTCTGTAAGAATTGCTGAACAATGTAAACCACTCAGAAGAACTCCAGGAGGAGGAAATGAGATAAAAGAAGTGATAGATGTAATAGATAGCAAAGAAAGAAATAAAATATGTGCAACTAAGTAAACCTTCACTTAAATATATATACATATATAATTTTATAAATGTAGCCACCTGGATATTAAATTCAAAATAATATCAGTGAGAGTTCAAAGATGTGAGAGGTGAGAGTTACAAGATGCAGAGGAAGACAAAATTATGTTAATTTTCCTTTTACTCAGGCATATTAGAGATATTGATTAACTCCAGATGATAGAATAAATATGTCTGAACATACATGCTAACAATGTTAAGGAAAACACAACAAGTAAAAACAAATTATATATTTGTAAAATAGCAGAGGAAAAATGGAACTAAAAGCAGTCTTCTATTCCTCCAATTAAAGGTGGGTAAAGGAACAACAAACTAGAAAGAATCATAAATACAAAAAAATAAAAGAGCAAAATAATTCCAAGTACATCATAAATTACAAATTAAGGGATGCTTAAATTCACTGCAAAAGATTGAAAAAACTTTCATATTGGATTTAAAAATCCAGTTTCAGAAATGTACTTATGAGACATCCCTCAAACCCAGTGACACAGGAAGACAGAATGAAGGAATGAAAAGAAATTAATTAAGCAAATGTTAATATGCAAAATTCCAATGCTACAATGTTAATATTGGAAAACCCATTAAAAAAGATGAAGAGGGCCTTTTCATGGTGATAAAAGGAGCAGACCATGAAGAAGATTCAGAAGAAACACATCTCTATGAAATCAGTAACCATTTTTCACAGAAAATGAAACAAAAACTGAGGAAACTAGAATAAACTATCAAACTAAAATTATAATCAGGGACTTAAGATACAGCTCTTAGCCACAGAAAAGCAGAGGCTAATATAACAAATGAACAATTAGGATAACACAACCAGAAAAAGAGATTAATATTTTTTTTGTAATATACATAAGAGTATGCACATTTCTTCAAAATACAAATGGAGCATTTTCAGAAGGTAACTAGTCCTATAACAGAAAGTGATTAAATAAGTCCAAGAAAGTTTATAACATATAGAATATTTTCATAATACAATGAAATTAAAAATTAAAGTTATAATTCTCAACTCGGGGTAGAAAAAGCTTTTAAAATATTAATGATTTTTAAATGAAAAATATAAATTATAATTTTGAATAACAGGGAAATTTATATATCAAAACTTGTAAGATTTTACTATAATTATATTCAGAATTTTTATACCTTTGAATATATAGAAAACAAGAGAACATGAAGACATTTGTTTAGCTTAAAAATCAGAAGAAGGGATTTATAAAAGATAAAATCAGAAACTTAAAAAATGGAGAAGTAAAGGTACCATAAAATTTATCTATAAAACCCATACTGAATCT